CTGGGAAATTGTAATGCTTATCCTGAGATGACGTCATTGTGTACCTTGTTGACGTAGACAAGATGAATCTGTATAATCAAGGGCTGAAAAAAATTAAAAGAATGTATCGATGAATAACACCGCCATTTTCGTCCTCATCGTCAAATATCCAACCTAGGCATCAACTTTTTTAACATAGTTTCAGTTGTCCTCATCAAATTAATTAAATTCACTAATTCGCACATTTCATAAGCATTCTAGCTTGATTTTGTACTAATTTCTGTTATTTCTTGCCTTTTTGAGAAAATAGTAAAATCCAAGATGGCAATTTTGTAGAGCAATCTAGGGCTATATAATCAATTCAAGGTAGACCTATTTCGCTACGCCTTAACAGAGCGAAAACCCAACGGGAGGGGGTATTCTATCCAACCCCCCCATGCTCTCCTTGTACACGGTGGGGTTATGAATTAGTTTGCCTTATGAAGCATATTTTCAATAATGTTTTTGAAACGAACTTTCTTCTAAGCACATTACCTGCCAAATATTTACAGTGCAGTATAAAACTTTTAAGTTGCTCCAAAGCTCTTAGTTTCCTTACTGGAACGAACTCCTTTTGAGGCACCGTTTGAGATATGTAACGGCTTCCAATTTGGGGATTCCCAATTATTATGCTAGTTTTTGATGTCTTCAATGTAACCAATTGTCGGTTTTTCCTTGGCCTATTCAGACGTGCAAAGATAATAGAAACACAAGCTAAACGCACAAAACTTCACATACCACTAACAGAGTGATAAAAGGCCTTGAACCTTGCTTTGTGTACATCTCCAAGACAAGAAAGATCAATCGTGAAATGATTTGATGATGAGACCAAAAGAGGAGGATACATATAGCCGCAGAATCTGCCTAGTGCAGGTGATTTCAAATCCTGCCCATCGAAAATCTGAACAAAACAGTCTTTGCACCTGGGGTGATCCTTGAGACGGAATTCTTGAAACTCCAGGTGAATGGTGTGACCCGATGGGACGGTGATGTGCCACGTGCAGGACATGTCATCAAGATAATTTCCAGGAAATGATGGAGAGGAGAAATACCCTGACATGTTGAGTAAGTTTTTGCTGCAAGCTGAAATAGCAATTATAAGAAGATTTAATCCTTTAATCCTCGATGTACATAAAAATTGTTCATGCATGAACTGTATTTACCTCGTTCCTGGTGTAAATTGACGCAATGCTTTATCTCAAGGTAAACAAGGCTTTCATTAGGTCTATCAAAGACCATCAAATTAAAAAGTTTGGGCGTTTTCCATTTAACCGAAAAAAATTTGAAACGGACTCTTATGGTAGTGACATTTGCTAGAAAAGTTTCTAGAAATTTCGAAAACATTTGAATTTTCGAAATACGAACCATTCAAACTAAAATTCCTGAAATCCTGGGAGAAAACGAAAATGGAAAGAAAATTCTCGGTAAGAAATGTCCAAAATTTTGCGTTTACCTCAAGAGGCCGTCTTTTGTTCCGGAAAATTCCGAAGGTGCTGTTCCATTTGCTACTATAAATTTTCAAAAGCTCAAACTGGAATTTTTAGTCGTATGGACATCGCACATAAATTCAGGATGTTCTTTTAAAGACTAATACTAACCCAAATAATCACACTAGACCTTTGGGCCAAAAAAATGGGCGCTTTCCGTTGGGCCAAATTTTCGGAAAACAGGATAACCTCTCAAGAATCCAAGAATCTCTGTCCCATTTTCATCCCACAATGTCTGGAATTTTAGGTTGAATACTTCGAATTTCATAAACTAAACAATTTCCGGATTTTTCGGAATCTTTCCAAGAACATTTCTGTACTATTTGCCCCCATTTCTATGGTTCCGGAATTTTGGTTGAATAGAATGCGCCCCTTACCTCTTGATCCCTTATCGATTAATTTACGATAACTGCAGAAATTCTTGCGCGCTCATTGGCTAATTTTATTGTCAATAAGCGGACAGACACATGAATTTATAATTTATGCGATGCGTCAACGAGCAAAAACGGACAATTTGACAATTTCTTATCGTAAAAAGACAATTTGACGTCAGTTTTTCATGCATCTGTCCTGTTATGGACCACGAAATCCCTCATAATATTGTCAAAGTAGTCTGCAGATCCACAGCTACTTTGACAATGTTGTAAAAAAGATTCATGATCAATGACAGGACAGACGCATGAACAACTGACGTCAATTTGTTAACTTGAAATGCAGCGCATGCCCAAGCCTTGGCACGAGAATCAAGTACATTATCTCTCCCTTACTGTGCCAAATGTAGTTCAACAATCATAGAATATAATTTGGGTAAACAGAAGGACTGATGTCCAAATCCCGCGGAAGATATCGACCGATTTTCCTAGAAAGTATTCAATTTAGAATTGAACATAAAATTGATTAATTGGGCCTGGGAATTGATTCTGGATTCACGCATGAGTTATTCACTCGCACCTGATTGGCTCATTAACTATGGAATTGTGTTATGCACGAGAGACAGAACACACAGAAGAACCTTTATAAGAAATACTACCTGTATCGCAGCGTTTTAATTACTGACCGCCAATTGAAACTTTCAACGGAAAATTTCCAAATTTTTCAAAAGTCGCTTTTGGCGGTTTCGTAAACAATGTAATCAAGTGGGCTAATTTCAAGCGTAGAAATTCGTCGAACCGCGAAACTATCCCTTTAAGAATTGTAATCCCATTCAATTAGCGCTCCTAAGAATGTTTCAGGAAAAACATGACTGGCTTAGGCTTGTTACCTTGCTTGGCCCGCATTGGCTCGTGCTTGCAATATTTCTCGTCAATGTACAGTCCTGTCAATGCTATTGAGTCATTAGTCTTCTCTGCTTCACCTTTTATTGACACCTATTGTACAAATAAAAAGTATTCCCTGTAGCAGTATTTGACTTACTCAGGCTGTGCTTTTGTAGCACACGCATCAGCAATAAATGTTTAACGTAAAGTAAGTTTATTTCACGACGACTTGAAATCTTAACTACTTATTGCCTGGTGGTTTCTTGGACAAAAATGATAAGTTAAAATCTTGACGACTTCTTGTCAGTGGTTTCTGGGACAAAAATAAAAGAAATATTTCACAGTAAGAACGGAAAATAGCAGTTTTCAACAAGGGAATTACGGGAGGAAAACGATAAAAACCGACATTTACCTCAGCATTAGGATACAAGGCGAAAAACGGGTAAACAGCATAAACGAACATTGCTTAGATGAAAAGTAAACGAACTTTCCAGACATTTACACATAACACGAGAAAGTTAAAATGTTTAAATATGACCGCTGTAGACTGGGCAGGGAGCTCATCGCTTGCAAGGGATTTGCCCCTACAATCTTTGTGCGTCAGTCAATTTCACCAGTGCCCATCCCCTCCCAGGCAATAGCCGGGCAATTGCTCCACGTTTTTTATTTCGACGTCGGGCATTTGAAGTTCTATTATTTATCAGGGGTCAGGAATCTGTCTATCCCTGGGACACTCCCATTTGACACCCTTGTAGTTTTGGTCTCTCATGTGGTGGACAGCGCAAACTTCATATTGTTCTCGTATTTATTCATGTCCTGTTGATCACACAAAGATCGAATGAAATTAATTCCATACGATGTATGAATTCTAAAGCTACCTTTTGTTAAAAACTTTAATATAAATTTTGTTTTTGTCATTAATAGGTCATATCTCCTTAAATCTTCCATGACACGTACATTGTATGTTGACATTGTACACTTGACGAGCTGAGCATGCCAAAACAGAAGGACTTTAATTTATAGACTAATTAAAAAGAAATCATAAACCAAAAGTAGCTATCGCATAGCGCTTTCAAGGACATTTTACACAATGTTGTGACCATTGGTAGGATAAACTCAGTTGTAAACAAAATCAGTAACATATAAAATAATAATGTTGGAGAGTAACACCTATTCATTTTAATTCATGAGATTTTGAGCAGTGTTATTTTCTAGCTAAGCCCGGGGACAAGGCATTTGCCTTGTTCCTCTTTTTGTCTCCCCACCCCACCAGGGGTGTTTGACCCATTTATTTAGCCCTACCCTGGGAATTTACCATTTTTTGAAGAAAACGTCGGTGCCCGGAGGTTGGCCCGGAACTGGGAGGATGGACTACTGGAATCGACTGATATAGAGATGGTAGGTCTTAGTATTATTGTTACCTGAAACTTCGAAATAGAACTCAATGGCACTTGACCAAATATCCAGTTCGTACCAGTTTTCCGTTTAGAAACCCAAACTGCTGTTTCTCGATGGTTGTCTACTTTCTGGTAAATTGTAAGTGTCTTTTCTCCAGGTCCCCTCAACATGTAGCGAAACTTTAAGCATTTGCTGTGCCCGTCACGCGATCTGTTGTATAGTGGGCTCACAAG